GGTGAGTGAAAGGTGGAGGAATGTGTGGATGGATGGATGGATAGATGATAGATAGATAGATAAATGGATAGAAGATAGATAGATAGATAGATAGATAGATAGATAGATAGATAGATAGAAGATAGATATATTACTGATGGATAGATTATCATAAGCCATAGATTGTAGAATGCATGTCCTGGAGAAATTCCAAGATGCCATTTATCCCCAGATCAATCATTTGAAGATGAGGAAATGGAAACACAGCACAATGAAGTCATTTATCCTCAAGTCCCTGTTTCTTAGTGTGAGAATCCATCTGAATGGCTTTGGGAACTATTCAAAGCACTCTATGCCCCAACTCCACCCTTGTTTCCTACTGTATCACCTGCTGCTATTCGGGGAAACATGACTAATCATGATTTCTTAAACACACCCAGGCCTTGCCTCTTCCCCCGTATTCTTTCTCTCGCCTCACTTTTATACTGTTTCCACCATTATTTTCTCTTTCTCAGTAGCTTGCTTGTTTCTGCATGTTCATGCTTTTGTTTATTCATGTAAGAATTTTGATAACCTAATGTGATCTAGACCCAGCGGCAGGTTCAGGGAAATTACATCCATTTGTCAACTTCATGCCCAAAGTGTTCTTGTGTGTACCCATAGGCTCTCACTTTCATGGATTATACTATTGAGACCATGTGGATTCCCTGAGCAAAGCTTAGGCCAAGGGTGGCTTTTGCGTTGTATATTTATTTCATTAAAATTTTTTTAATTAAAAAATGTATATGGGTGTTTTGCCCACATGTATGTGTGTTCACCACATACATACCCAAGGAAGCCAGAAAAAGGGCTTAGATTCCCAGGAACTGGTATTCTAGAAGGTTATGAACTGCCATGTGAGAGCTTAGCATTGAACTGGGTCCTCTGCAAGCACAGTAAGTACTCTTAACCATTGAACCATCTCTCCAATCCTGTATGTTCATTTTTTTTTTCACTGATCTCTGCCATGAGGACTCTTCTTAGGAAATTCCCTACTTACCGTGGGGACAGAGTCAAGGGCATCAATCATTTCTTTGTGTTTAATGTGAAAATGGAGGTAAGAATGCCCTAGCGGACTGTCCTGAGGATTCATGACTCTCGTAAGTCTCCATGCATCCTTGGGCCCATAATAGTTAGTAGTCAGCATGTGGTAGGAGCCTCTTCCCTTTTATCAGTGGGAACTATGCTTGGAAAAGCACAAGCAAGTGGATTCTCTATAACCATACAGGAGTCAATTGACCTCACTCTGTGGTGTATGAAAATTAACTGATGGTAATGCACATTGGTTTATTTTTTTTTTTTTTTAGTTTTGCTATAAACTGCTTGAGAATGGCTTAGTATTGGTATATGTCCTACTACATCAATAATCTGTGAATATTTAGTCTTTTGTTGCCTAGGTGCTTTGCATCTGTGATCTTAGATATTTATTTTCAATTTAGTACTAATTTGCATCAGAATAAAACTGTAGGTGAAAATCCTAAACATTGTTTCCATCTTCACACAAATTTACTTCCAAAAGTTGGGCACATTTACCTGATTCTATATATTGCCATAGATTGAGATAGTTAGCACCCAAGTATTGTCAATCATATGACTGTATATTCTGTTTTTCACTTTCATGTTCTGTGGGGTTTTTTTTTTTTGATAGTTTCAAAATAAAATACAATTGTTCATCATGAGATGTTCAGACACTTATAAATGGTCAGTGTAGAGGTCTGAAATATTCTAGTAGAAAGAGTAGTCACCAATGAAATGTCGATTTCACTTCAATATCAGCAGGGGGTGATCTTGATGGTGGTAAAGTCTGCCTCCTATCACGAAGTTCAGTCTACAAATGCCAATGATAGAGTGACCTGGTATCTAGGACCGTGGGAAACAGGAGGTTAGAGTGCCCTGTGGAAACCCCCATAGGACCGTGGGGAAGCAGGAGGGTTAGAGTGCCCCGTGGAAACCCCCATAGGACTGTGGGGAACAGGAGGTTAGAGTGCCCCATGGAAACCCCCATAGGACCGTGGGGAAGCAGGAGGGTTAGAGTGCCCCGTGGAAACCCCCATAGGACTGTGGGGAACAGGAGGTTAGAGTGCCCCAGTGGGTGGAAACCCCCATTCCTGTTAGGCATCTTCCTCCCCAGAACTACAAATATTAAAAAAAAAAGGTCCCTTAGTTCTTGGCTTAAGAGGGAGTACTCAATAGCGTCCTCTTTAAGACCCATGTGCTGGGCAGGCTGTGTCCATGGGGCCACAGTTTCTAGGAAATGTCATTATCCTGGAAATGGGAAAGACACATTTCCTGCTTGAGACCTTAAGTGGATAGAGCTATAGTTATTTATATCTTTATTAGTTTTAGATTCAGTAATAATGGATATGGTCATGGATTGATACTTTATTGCCTTTGTATGTGCATAACATTTTTACTTCTTCAGGGAATCTATACCAAGAATTGAATTTAAATGTTTTTGAGGCAGGCGGCAAGTTAAGCTGGGACAGCCACTTTGTGGCCCAACACATTATTTTCATTGATGATAATATGATTGCAATATAATACTGAAAATTGGCTTCTTTCTACTGCTCATGAGGCAAATGACCAAGGAGACCAAATTTCCAGTCTGGAAAATTCCATCCATGATATCTCCTTGGGGACAGGAGAGTGGGGGCACAGGAACAGGATCAATTTCAAAGAAAACTTCACAAAGCTAGCTACAGTCTTGAGTTTTCTTTCAAACAGAGGGAGCAGTTTATGAGGGAGTTGGAAAACTTAATCATTGATATTTTTACATTAATTAATTAATGTGTGTGTGTGTGTGTGTGTGTGTGTGTGTGTGTGTGTGTGTGTGTAGGTCTGAGGACAGCATGCAGAAGTCAGTTCTCTCCTTCCACCATGTGGGTTGAAGGAATCAAATTCAGCTTGCCGGGCTTGTCCTTACTCTCTGGGGCATCTAACTGACTCTCATTTAATTTTTAATGTTAAGTTTGCAGCGATTTTCCTCAAGTTTCCAAAGTGAAAAGCTGAGGGTAACTGATCTCAGAGGAAGGAAGCAGGTGACACTTTTCCCTGCTTTCCTTTTTCATCCGTGGGGTCCGTGGGCTTGCCCCACTTGGGATATTTGAAGGCAAGAGAGTCAAATGACCATAGGGTCTTTAAGAGAGTGTAGCAAAAGGAGAATGGCACCCAGGTGAAGCACTTTCCTCCCTGAGAGACTCACTCCCAGGAACATTCAGCTTAAAGTCCAACCAAGAGCCAACCCAAGTCTCCCTATGCCTGCAGACTCTTCGCTACCAAAACACCAAGGGCAATGGCAGTCTGGTGTATACTGAAGCTCAGGCAAGTTCTCAAATCTCTCTGTTCCCTGAGCTCTGAGACCCGAGAGAGAAAATGTGAGGCAGGTGTTTGGTTGGGTGAGTGGAGAACCCAAGATGTCAGCAAGGACAGGGCAGAGAGGATGCATGGGGTATCCTTAGAGAAGCTTCAGAATAGCTGGGGCTCTACATGGGGGAAGGTGAAGACAGTGAGGGCGTTGACCTGGAGAAGCCAGGGCGTGGCCTTCATCTGAGGAGGCTACAAAGCCTGGGTGCTCTTGGGAGCTTGTGGAATTGCAGACTGTGATCCAAGAACTGCACAGGGACTGGAACAGTAGAGCGCTGGCTGGAATAAGAGCACTGCTGGGATGGCGTGCTCCATGGGCAGGGCTTCGCGATGGGCAGGGCTTCGCGATGGGCAGGGCTTCGCGATGGGCAGGGCTTCGCGATGGGCAGGGCTTCGCGATGGGCAGGGCTTCGCGATGGGCAGGGCTTCGCGATGGGCAGGGCTTCGCGATGGGCAGGGCTTCGCGATGGGCAGGGCTTCGCGATGGGCAGGGCTTCGCAATGGGCAGGGCTTCCCGGGCTTGTTCAAGAGACAGAAAGTGAAGCAAATTAAGATAATTCCTGATGTTTTCACGGAGGAAAATGGCAAGAATTTCTTAGCTCAATAGTGTGGAAACTTGAGATTGAGGCTTTTGTTGTTGACATGTTTTGTTTATTTGTTTGTTTTCCCCCATTCCTGGATTTTCAGAGAATTGGGCTGCTTTGTTGCATACATACCTAGCGTGATTGCTTCAGTTAACCGAGAGTGTCATCAGACTTGTGAAATATTTATACAAACTCAGTAATATTTATATAGCATCAATTTAGTATGTAGACTGTACTGACAATCAAAATCTTTACTTGTGACTGGAAGTATAAAAGAGACATTTACTGTGTTTGGAGGTTATTCCATTGGCAGAGGACATTTTCAGGTAACCTATGTCTGCAAATGCTGACAGACAGCCCATTTCCTAAAGAAAAGATCTATCTTCTGCTCTCTGTTTCAACACCAGGAAACTGTTCTTGACTGTAGTTTTGAAGACAATGAGATTAACTATGGCTTTAACTACCCTTCCACCAGCTTCCTTCCTATTTGGAAAAAATATATATTAATAAATAAAAAATATATATTAATGCTGAAAAAAGTTAAATGTTGCCTGAGACGTATTGGAGTGTGAAGTGTGAATAAGTGGCAACTTAATTCCCAATGAGTATGTGACAGCCAAGGAGTTAAATCAAGATTTAAGTTGGGCAGTCCTTTGACTTTACAGGGCACCCTGCTAATGAGCACAGTCCCCCTCCTCAGAAATCCTGCATGCTGCTAGCATACAGATCTTAATATGTGTCCTAATAGTCATGAACAGTCCTGCTCAGAGTTCCCAGAGGCTCATGGAGATCAGAACCATGTGAATCATTAAGGAGGATAATTCCCATCAAATCAAAGCCTTGATCACCACTCGAATTTTATGAAAAGCAGAATCTACAAAGGGGCTGTCTAGGGATCCTACTACTTACACAGGTGTAGATGGTGAGTTCCTCCATGAAGCACTGTAAAATAACCAAAGGGAAGTGGGTAGTCCTATACACATCATGTGACAAATCTTAGGGATGCCGTGAGTGACAGGTGTCTTTGTTTTACAGTTGTTCAGCACATCAAGAGACACAACATCGTTCTGAAGAGGGAGCTTGGTGAAGGAGCCTTCGGAAAAGTCTTCCTAGCAGAATGCTATAACCTCTGTCCTGAGCAGGATAAGATCTTGGTAGCTGTAAAGGTAAGATAACATTCCACAATATCTCCTTGTTCACGGTCCCACTAAACTATGGGAGATTCATTTTGTTATATTTTAGTAACCAATTTGAGAATACATTATGTTTTCAATGGTACACATATTTTTAAATTCTTCTGCGTATATGAGTAGTCAGAAGGACATTTGTCCATCAGAAGCGATTCTCGGCAGCAACCATCCAATTTGCAGGCCACGACTATCTCCAAGCTTCTTCTTAAAGTTATACTAACAAAATTCTAGATCCAGGTCAATGAGATCAAACAAAATTCAATCAGGTAAGCTACAATGCAAGCTTCTCTCCTCTAATTCTGGATGCTGGTGACTCCATTACCTGGGACTCGCTACATTTTCTAGATTCTGGAAGGAAGGAATATTGATTCTGTTGCACTGAATTTTTCCTATATGCCATCTACACTTGTCCCTTCCAAAGTGTATGAAGCCACAGGATATTTTTTACAGCATAGACATGATTTCACCAAGAGTTAGATGGCATCTCCTATAGATTCTACCATCATAGCAAATGTAGGGTTTTTATAAATAAAGAAATCTGAAAGTCCTTCATCATAGTCATGTTCCCCCAAACTAAAAAAGGAGTCCTGTTCTTCAATAAGATAAATAATAACGTTGAAAGGGATAATTTTCTATTGAGATTTGTAGAGCTTGAGAAAAATACCACAATGGACTTAGGCAGATCTTTTAAACATGCATTATAATTTTTTTGAAAACTCACTAAGGTATTTTTGATATATGGATATCAAACATTTAAAAGGTCATTTAAAAGGTCATAAAATTATAAAGAGTTGAGTGTCAATTGAATGTGGATGTGGCTTATGTAATAAAATTTAACCTCTTTGATTAATGAAAGAAAGATGGCTGAGTTATTGTTGAGTTATATTTTTGCTAAACAGTGACCATTTGCATGAATCGTATTTATTCATTCATTATAACCTAGGCAACATTTTATTTCTTTAAGAAATCTGGTGCATATTCCACTATGATACCAGATTTTATTGTATACACATGGATAACCAAGAGAATATAATTATTCTTGAAGCCACCCATCCTGAAAAACATACGGCTTATTAATTTTTTTCCAGGTAGAAAAATTGTACATCTTCTTTCCTCATGAGCTGAATTTTTTTTTTGAGACAGGGTTTCTCTGTGTAGCTTTGTGCCTTTCCTGGATCTCGCTCTGTAGCCCAGGCTGGCCTCGAACTCACAGAGATCCGCCTGGCTCTGCCTCCCAAGTGCTGGGATTAAAGGTGTGCGCCACCACCGCCTGGCTGTGATCTGAAATATTTTAAACGCCCTGTCCAGAGTGGCATGATGCTCATAAATTCCCAGAAAACCCTTAAGAGCTACATGTTTCAACTACTAAAGGACCAATGGCTCTAGAAATTATCAGCTATCAAATACAAATTATGACTTCAACACAGGAAATGGATGGAAGCTTAAGAAAGGAGGTGAGGAGAGGGCTATTCTAAAGAGATGTGAGGCCAGAAGGTAGAAGCTGCTACAGGAGGGACTGTGGTGGCTGGAGGTGATTCGTTACCACTCTTGTGCTTACTTCTTTTCTCCTGTCTATTGACAAAGCTCCCTGTTTGTTAGCACATCACATTCAGGGCATTTGGCAGTTTCTTATCTCTAGTCTCCACTTTCTTCTTCAATCTTCTTTATCTTTGGGGATAGATGAGATCAAATGTATTGCTATTTTTGAAATTTTATAGATGAACAAGTGTTCAGGCTGGAAGAATCACAGGATGTGTCTATCCCTAATGGAGCCATTTGTATCAAATCTGCAAAATGAAGACCTAGGCCCATGTTGGATCTATGTTTTACATTCTATTTGGCAGCCAATCAGGAAACCTAACCAAGGATTCATGAATTCACTTCACAGTGGTGTACATGTGACCCCTCAAGTATGTGAAAATCCTGCATGGCCAGGGGATTCTAAATGACAGTGTGGGGATAGCTGAGAGACCTTGGCCAGATATATGAGCATCCAACCAAGTTTTCAGGAACTCCAGCCTCTCATCCCTGCTCTGTACTGACTTCCCTATACTTCTTCAATGCTCTTAAGGAAAAGGTACTGTGCAGTTAGATTCAGGAGATCTGAAGCTTGTGCACTCAGATTACTTTTGAGCAGACACTAAAACAAAGTGGTCGGCCTTGTCTACTAACAATGAGGGATGACTGATTGTTCTTATGTAGGTCCTCTCCCACCCCTGCCCAACCTCAGCTGGCCTTTAGAAGACCATTTGCCATGCTGCTTTTGTGTGCACAGCATGCTTCTTTTTGGGTCTGTCTCCCATTATTATTGCCAATTAGACCCTCCTCTTGTTTAAGTCCCAATTATGGCTCAAATTCTTTGAATCAGACCTAGCACCCATTCTTCATGTACCTTTTGGCTTTGCTAAAGATGTTTCTGCAAATTAATGGTCTATGATCAATGTTCGTTCATTAAACAGTGCTGCTGGGGGCTGGGGGGGGGGAGCTACTTGACTCTTTGTCAAATCCTGACTTCTCTTTGCCAGTCTTCTTAGAGTTAAAATGAAATTGTCACCTGAAATAAGAAGGACAAATGGACTGTAGATTAAAGTTTTACTCTTACTTCATGACCACAGACCTAAGGAGTTTTATAGCAATGACCTTAAGTATGAATGTTAAATCAGAAGTTTACCTGCTATAACCCAGGCTTCATTCATGGCACCATGTTGATCCTCTGGACAAAGAGGTTGTATCTTTGTGAGCTCCAGGGTGAATCAGGTAAGAATAATTTACAGACCTTGCACAGAGCCTTTCTACAACTTGGGCACACTCAGTTATAGGGATTTGGTCCAATCGAAAATGTATTCAGAGCTATACTACTCTTGGAGGAAAACACCCATCATTTCTCTCTGACCATAACAAAAGGATTTGTTTTGTGTTTCACTTTTAAGCAATGTCAAACTGAACACATCTTCCAGGACTGTACAGCCTCTCACCTCTCTGGAGTGGCTTGGGTTGCTCCTATCCCATTGGATGCACCAGGGGATGTTTGACAGCCTTTCTACTGTTGCCTAGCAACCTCTGCAGCATTGACTATGCATGCTAAGAAACTGCAGCCATTGTCCCTTTTCCGTCTCTGGAAAGAGCTAACTTTGGTTTGAAATCCAAAGCTTTATGTCCAGATTGACAGATGACAGATTCATGTGAATTCTGGTGTTGATTCTCCCAAATAATTTAGTAGCTTGAAGGAGTCAGTGTCCTAGGCCATGTGCCTGCTTTCAAGGGCACGCGGACCGATCATACCTCTCCAGTTACAGGGTATGCTTGTTTGGTTCAACTGGATTGCCCTTTTCTTTTTTCTTTTTTTTTTTTTTTTTGGATGACCTTTGTTTTTCAGTGAAATGGATTTGTCAACCGTTTTCCCCTTTATACTGAATTATAATTAAAAAGCCCATATAGAGGAGAGAAGTGAAGAAACTAGTCTTTGATCAAACCCAGTTACTTTACCTTTGAGTTCCTCAGTTGCCAAGGAAACGCTCCATCGCACTTTCCCTGCATTAACTGCTGATGCATTAGCTATTTTTGGCTCCATCCAACGTGCATTTCAATAACTACCCTTCCCACAACATTTTTTGTACTATGAATGCAAGCTGATTTTTGGTTTTCAAATAAAGCTGCAAGTCTGCTTTGTAGGATTTATGCCCCTCCCTGGCTAACTCCAGTTTATTTCTAGAAACAAGGAATGCTGAATATGAGAGAGACCTTTAAAACCATATAAATAAAACCCTAGCCTCGTGTTTTATGGATGAGAAATCTGAGACCTAGGGAAGTCAAGTGACTCTCTCAAGATATGAAGTTAAAAGAGCCAGAGGGGCTGGCTGCACAGGTGAAGCCTTGTGCAAATCGGAAGTGTGCTGGTGAATTCAGTAGATGCTTTTCTGAGATCAGATGTAAATATTTCTGAATTCCTTATTTTCCACAGAAGAAATAACGGTATTTTTCTCTACTAAGAGGTTTGGAAAAGCAACTTACAAACTATCTTTTCACCAGAAGGCAAGCCCAACACATCATCTGACACAATGCCCCAGTCCTCATCCAATCCATCAGTGCAGGCAACTTCAGTTCATGCATCTCAGTTCAAGTCGTCTCTTTGGAAGGTCTGTCTTTGTTTGTTCCCCAACCAGACAAAACTCCATGCTGTGTGCTGTCAAGGCTTCTATAATTGGCCTTTACAGCATTATCAAGATTTTTAAATTATGATTAGTGTGTTTACTTCGTGAGTGACATTGCATGTCTGTGACCGCTTGTAGGGTGTCAATCACAATCTACAGAGGGAACCATGACTTTCAGCACATTGCCTAATATATAGTGTGATGCAAAAGAGAAATGCTTATTGAATAAGTGAAGAGATGGTTGATAGTAGGTGAGTGGATGGGTACAGACCATGGAAATGATACATTTCTGATGCACTAAAGAGTTGATCATTGGCATTTCTACACAACAAAGTGATTTCATGAAACACTGATGGTCACAGCTGAAAGAAACTGTAAAGACAATATGTAACTTTAATAATCTAATGTAATGAGAATCATTCTAGATACAGTTTAATAGGTTATGCGTGGTGGCACACACTTGCAATCCTAGCACTTGGCCAAAGGAGGCACAGAAAGATCCAGCACTGAAGGTCACCTTCATCTACATAGTGACTGTGAAACCAAATGGGCTACTTGAGGCTGTCTCAAACACAAAGAAAAAGAAAGGGCAGAAATATTGAATAGTTATATAGATACATTCTACTATTATTAATGTTCTTTAGCTCACATTTTACAAAAGAAAAAGACACACAGAGAGAAACCCAGAAGGTTTGAGAGTTGGCTCAGCAGTTAAGAGCACAGGCTGTTTTTGCAAAGGACCTGGGTTCTATCCCTGGCACCTGCATAGTGACTCACAACCATCTCTCCAGTCTTGTGGGATCTAGCACACTCTTCTGGGTTCCA